ATCGGGATCGAGAAATTCCCCAAAAATTCCCGAGTTTTTCCCCCTCAGGGATCGCGATGGAATTTTGGGTTTCTCAGCCCAAAAAATCCCAAAATATTTCATTTTTTTCCGGGATTTTGAGGCTTTTTTTCCTTCCCAATCCCAAATTTCCTCATCCAAATCCCAAATTTTTCCCCTCATCCCAAATTTTCCCCCTCCCGAGGATTTTTGGGATCCCCCCAGACCCCAAATTTCCCTTTTTCCACCCAAATTTCCCTTTTTCCTCCCAAATTTCCCTTTTTCCTCCCAAATTTCCCTTTTTCTTCCCAAATTTCCCTTTTTCCTCCCCAAATTTCCCTTTTTTCACCCCAAATTTCCCTTTTTAACCCCAAATTTCCCTTTTTCCTCCCAAATTTCCCTTTTTAACCCCAAATTTCCCTTTTTCCACCCAAATTTCCCTTTTTCCACCCCAAATTTCCCTTTTTCCTCCCAAATTTCCCTTTTTAACCCCAAATTTCCCTTTTTAACCCCAAATTTCCCTTTTTCCTCCCCAAATTTCCCTTTTTAACCCCAAATTTCCCTTTTTCCTCCCAAATTTCCCTTTTTCCTCCCCAAATTTCCCTTTTTCCTCCCAAATTTCCCTTTTCTTCCCAAATTTCCCTTTTTCCTCCCAAATTTCCCTTTTCTTCCCAAATTTCCCTTTTTCCACCCCAAATTTCCCTTTTCAACCCCAAATTTCCCTTTTCAACCCCAAATTTCCCTTTTTCCACCCCAAATTTTTGTTTTTGGGCTGTTTTGGGTGTTATTTTTGGGCAGTTTTTGGGGTTAATTTTGGGTATTTTTGGGGTATTTTTTGAGTTATTTTTGGGGTTATTTTTGGGGTGTTTCAGGGATTAATTTCGGGGTGTTTTGGGGTGGTTTTGGGTGTTTCAGGGTTATTTTTGGGGTGTTTTTGGGGCGTTTTTGGTTATTTTTGGGGTATTTTTTGATTTATTTTTGGGCTGGTTTTGGGTGTTTTGGGGTTATTTTTGGGGTGTTTTGGGGTATTTTTTGAGTTATTTTTGGGGTTTTTTTTGAGGTGATTTTTGGGTGTTTTTGGGGTGTTTTTGGTGTTATTTTTGGGCTGTTGTTGGGGTGTTTTTGGGGTATTTTGGGATATTTTGGGATATTTTGGGATATTTTGGGGCGTTTTTGGGGCGTTTTTGGGGTATTTCAGGTTATTTTTGGGGTGTTTTTGGGGTATTTTGGGGTGTTTTTGGGGTATTTTGGGGTGTTTTCGGGGTATTTTCGGATATTTTGGGATATTTTTGGGGTATTTTGGGGTGTTTTGGGGCGTTTTTGGGGTGTTTTGGGGGTATTTTGGAGTATTTTGGGGTGTTTTTGGAGTATTTTGGGGTGTTTTTGGGGTGTTTTTGGGGTATTTTGGGTTATTTTTGGGGTGTTTTTGGGGTGTTTTGGGGGTATTTTGGGGTGTTTTTGGGGTATTTTGGGATATTTTGGGATATTTTTGGGCTTTTTTGGGGTATTTTGGGGTGGTTTTGGGGTATTTTTGGGGTATTTTTGGGTATTTTGGGGTGTTGTTGGGGTGGTTTTGGGGTATTTTGGGGCGTTTTTGGGGTGTTTTTGGGGTATTTTGGTTGTTTTTGGAGTATTTTGGGGTGTTTCAGGGTGTTTTTGGGGTGGTTTTGGGGTGGTTTTTGGGTATTTTGGGGCGTTTTTGGGGTGTTTCCGGGTGTTTCGGGGTGTTTTTGGGGTATTTTGGGGTATTTTGGGGTGTTTCAGGGTGTTTCGGGGTGTTTTTGGGGTGTTTTGGGGGTATTTTGGGGCGTTTCCGGGTGTTTCGGGGTGTTTTGGGGCGTTTTTGGGGCGTTTCGGGGTGTTTTGGGGTGTTTCGGACCTGGTAGAGCTGTCCCATGGTGGCGCTGGTCGGGGGGATGACGTTGTTGACGAAGAAGAACAAAGCGTCCTCGGCCCGCAGGTGAATCCTCTTCCTGATCAGGAAATAAAACTGCCCCACTGGAAAGAAAGAATTCCCAAAATTCCATAAAAAAACGGGGAAAAACCCTCGGGAATTATCCCCAAAAAATCCCTGAGGAAATCGGGGCGGAATCAGGGGGAAAAATCGGGAAAAATGGGAGGAAACGGCACGAAAAAATTCAAAATATTCTTAAAAAAAAGCTCCAAAATCTGCTCAAAAAAATTCCAAAATATCCTCAAAAAAAATTCCAAAATATCCTCAAAACAATTCCAAAATAATCCCAAAAAAATCCCCAAAATCAGCTCCAAAAATTCCAAAATAATCCCAAAGAAAGCCCCAAAATCAGCTCAAAAAAAATCCCAAAATCAGCTCCAAAAATCAGCCCAAAATCCCCCAAAATATCCTCAAAAAAATTCCAAAATATCCTCAAAAAAATTCCAAAATAATCCCCAAAAAATTCCAAAATAATCCCAAAAAAATCCCAAAATCAGCTCCAAAAAATCCCAAAATCAGCTCAAAAAAATCCTCAAAAAATCCCAAAATATCCTCAAAAAAATCCCAAAATCAGCTCCAAAAAATTCCAAAATATCCTCAAAAAAATTATCCCAAAATCAGCTCCAAAAATCCCAAATTAATCCCAAAAAAAGCCCCAAATTTGCTCCAAAAATCAGCCCAAAAAACCCCCAAAATCAGCTCAAAAATAAAAAAAAAAAATCCCCAAAATCAGCCCCAAAAAACCCCAAAATCAGCCCCCAAAAAAACCCCAAAATCTGCTCCAAAAATCCCAAAATAATCCCAAAAAATCCCAAAATATCCTCAAAAAATTCCCGAATTTCCCAGAATTCCACCTTAAAAAACCCCCCAAAATTTGGATAAAAACCCAAAAATTCCAATGAAAAAACCCTCAAAAATTAGACAAAAAACCTCCCCAAAATTCCCCAAAAAATCCTCAAATCCCATCCCCAAAATTCCCAAAATTCCAGAGGAATAATCCCAAAAAATTCCACCCCAAAAAATTCCCAAATTCCCTCAAAATTCCACTGGAAAAATCCCAAAATTCCACCAAAAAACCCCCAAAATTCCACAAAAAAAACCACAGAATTCCACAAAAAAACCACAGAAAATTACGGGAAAAGTCCCCAAAATTCCCAAAATCCCCCCAAAATTCCCAAAATTCCACCGGAAAAATCCCAAAATTCCACAAAAAAAACCACCCAAAAATTAAAAAAAAACCCCAAAATTGCCTAAAAAACCCCGTAAAATTCCCCAAAAAATCCTAAAAAATTTCAAAAAATCCCAAAAATTCCTAAAAAGTCCCCAAATCCCCAAAATTCCCGAAATTCCATCAGAAAAATCCCAAAATTCCACCAAAAAACCTCACAAAAAATAAAAAAAAATCAAAAAAATCCCCAAAAAATCCCTAAAAAATCCCCAAATTCACCCAAAAAAATTCCTAAAAAAATCCTAAAAAATCCCCAAAAATCCCCAAATCCCCCCAAAATTCCCAAAATTCCCGAAATTCCCAAAATTCCACCTGTCAGGTCGGAGGGCACCAGATATTTCTTCTTGTCCAGGTCCCCAATTCGAGCCTTGGGCGCCTTTTCCACGATCACCTGAAATGGGGGGAAAAATGGGAAAATCCGTTAAATTTTGGGGGAAAAAATGGGAATTTGGGAAGGAAAAAATTCCTTAAATTTGGGGGAAAAAAAATGGATTTAGAGAGGGAAAAATTCCTTAAATTTTGGGGGAAAAATCTTGGATTTTGGGGGATTAAAATTTGATTTTTGAGGATGAATCCCTTGGGGTTTTGGGGAAAAAAAAATCTTGGATTTGGGAAAAAACTTCCTCGAATTTTGGGGCAAAATCCCTGGAATTTTGGGAGATTTTTTTTGAAGGAAAAACTTCTCTAAATTCTGTGGGAAAATCCTTTAAATTTTAGGGAAAATCCTTTGAATTTCAGGAAAAAAAAAATAAAATAAAACAACAAAAAATGAGGGAACGCCTCCCAAAATGAGCCCGAAAATTTGGGAATTCCCAAATTTTGGGGATTTCCGGGTGGATTTTTTGGAATTTTGATGATTTTTGGGGTGAATTTTGGGATTTTGGGGTGAATTTTTGGGCTCCCTGAGGAAATTTTGGGATTCCCGGGGTGGATTTGGGCTGAATTTGGGGATTTTTGGGGTGAATTTTGTGATTTTTGGGGTGAATTTTGGGATTTTTGGGGTGAATCTTGGGATTTTGGGGTGAATTTGGGCTGAATTTGGGAGTTTTGGGGTGGATTTGGGCTGAATTTGGGGGTTTTGGGGCGAATTTGGGCCGAACTTTGGGATTTTGGGGTTGGATTTTGGCGATTTCGGGGTGGATTTCTGGGCTCCCTGAGGGAATTTTTGGCTCCCGAATTGAATTTTTGGCCTCCCCGGGTGAATTTTTGCCTCCCGGATTTGATTTTTGGCCTCCCCGGGTTGAATTTTGGGCCTCCCCGGTTGATTTTGGGCCTCCCCCGCCTCACCGGGACTCGGTCCGGGTACTTTTTCCGGATTTTCTCGCCCTCGCAGCGACGTTTCTCGAACGGATGCTCCTCCTTGTACAGGAACTTCATGGCCGGGCCGGGCCGGGGGCCGAGGCCGGGGCCTGCTGGGGGCCG